GTCACTCACTTCGCCATTAATACTGTTACATTCTCCCCTCCTTAAAAAGTCATTGTCCTCAATGACCTCAAAAAAAATTTTTGGTCATTTTTGACATTTTTAAGCGGAGATGTGACTAGTACGGCGGTTGCGGCTGGTGTGGCGTCGTATTCTGGAGCAAGTAGTGTTGTCCTTGGCGACTTCTATATTCTTGTGGCGTCGTCCGTGTTACGTTTTGCGGCGTTTCCTTGGTCTTTTAGTGGCATTTCGCTTCGCATTTCGGGAGTATCATCATTTCGCGCTTCGTGTAACATGGCGGCGTGGCGATCATTTCGTGACGTATCCGTGCGGCAGAGTGCGGCGTCGATCGTGATGGAATTTCTGGCGGCGGGAATTGCTGCGGCGCACTGTGGTTGGTGGCGGCGGCGATTACTGCGGCGTTCCATGCGTTGTCACGGCGTCGTATCGTACTGTGGCGTCGTGTGCGGCGGCGTCCTGTGCTGTAGCGTCTTGTCTTGTCTCGCGGCACGTTATACGGTGGTGTATCACGTCGTGGCGTTTCATCTAGTATGTTGTACGGTGGCGTCCCGTGTTGTGGCGTCATTACATCGTGTTGTACGGCGTTCTGTGGCGGTGCGGCATTTCGTGTAGCGGCGTTCTGTCTTGTAGCATTCTTGCGGCATGTTGTACGATGGTGTATCGTGTCGCGGCGTTCTTGCGGCGTGTAATGCTTCAGTTCTTCAGGCGTTCTAGTGGCAATATCTCATTGCGGCGTCGTCCCGTCGATGCTGCGGCGTTACGTTGCGGCGGCATCCGGCGCATACAGTGGCATCCCATCGGTGCGGCGGTGACCTCATGTTACGGCGGCACTGGGCGCATGTAGCGACAACTTCATGCTGTGGCGACGTCCCGTCGATGCGGCGGCGATCCTATATCGTGGCGGCATCCGGCACTTCAAGTGGCAACTTCTTTTTGCGGCGGCGTCCCGTCGATACTGTGGCAATCCCATATTGCGGCAGCATCCGGCGCATACAGCGGTAACTTCGTGTTACGACGGCGTCCCGGTAGTGCGGCGGCAATCCTATATTGCGGCGGCGTTCCGGCACTTGTCTTTACGTTCCACGGTGCTGCGGCGACCTCTTGTCCCGGCAGCATCCGGAGCTTCTAGGGGTATCTTCGTGGTGTCGTAGCGTCCTCGTGCTACGGTGTTCCGGCGGTACGGTGGTGTTCTTGCGCTACGGTGGTGTCCCAGCGTTACGTTGGCATCCTTGCTTCGTACTACGTTTCGCTATCGTGTGTGTCATCCGTTCTAGTACGGCATATGGTACGGTCATGTCACGTTTCGCGGATTAGAATACCAGATGGTGTTTATCCATCCAAAGGTCGATGCTGCGCCCAGCCTTATATTCGAAACCTATATCGAAATGCTGTCCAGACTTATACCATGGGGTTTAGATTCGTGTCCATTGACCCAACCTTTGTTCCAATCCCGTGTGACGTTGTACCAATGTGTTGTGTGTGTTCGTAGTACGTTGCGTAACGTTTCGCTATCGTATGATGTAATGAGCCATTTATCTTCATTCTGGTGCGTTGGACGGTCGTGTCACGTGATACGGTCGTTGTTCCGTCCTAATTCTGTGGGGCAAATCATTGACTCAGTTCCGGTCAATGGTGAGAGTGTCATTAGTGGTTTTCTCCTGGTCCAATCAGATCATTTGCAGATGATGTCATTCAGTCATTACAGATTGTCCAATCATAACACATCATCCTGCAGATCAGATTTCTCATATATAAACCATGTTGTTTACATCGGCGTAACCTTTAATCCTCGTCCCACACAATTTGGCTTTCATAGTACTTTAGGGTATTATGATTCACAAAGGAACCTTTGGTGTAGGAGCAAATATTGATGTTTGTCCTGGTCACCTTTGTGATGTCAAGGCAGCCTTCCTTGTGTAGGTGTTTGACCTGGTTACATGGTGATGTCAAGGCGGTCAAGATTTTTCCTATGGCACAGCTCCTGCGTGACCTTTAGTGAGAGGGTCCTTGGATGACCTTTGGGCAGGATTCCTTGGGAAGAACGGTCCTTTTTTGTTAACAACCCAGTTGTTACTGCTTTCCTTCCCCTTCCCTAGTATGAATGGAAAGTCAAGGGACTCCTCAAAAATCCACGCTTAACAGTAGAATATGTCCATGACATAGAGCCATTAGAGTGCCAGTTGTCAGTGCCATTTCCTCCTAGTGGTACCTTCAATGACCTTCATAAATTTAACCTTGAAGCGAGATGGTTTATTTATTTCCAAAGCGGTGTGGGTGTGGTGGTGTTTTCAGAGCTCAGACCTTGTGTTACCCTTGCATAGACCTTCGTGGTACCTTTGTTCAGCCTTTGGAAATTCTTTCAGAGACCTTTAGTAAGTCCTTTACCAATTAAACCTTTATTTGACCTTCATAATGCCTTCGTGTAGCTTCGTTTAACCTTGTAGATCCTTTTTCATGAGACCTGGTGGTGTCCTTAGATGTAGCATACCTTTAGACCTTTGTGTAACTTTTGCGATACCTTTGTCGATCCCTTTGCGTAGCCCTTTTACAGACCTTCATAGTGACCTCAAGTTCACTTCGCGTAACCTTCGTATACCTTTGCCGATCCTGTGTAACCTTGGGCGAACCATTGTGGAACTTGGAGAGAGAAGAGCAATGAAAATAAGAGAGAATTACCCAAGAAAAGTGGCAAGAAGTGTTTTCCTTAAGAAAAGAAGCAAGAAGAAAGAAATCAAGAAGGAATTTTAAGAAAAGGATAGGATAAAAGAAGTATCCGCTGCTACCAAATGTAACATTCCATATTACAACATGTAATATTTCATGTTAAAGAGTCATAAACAAGGCATTG